AATTCAGCCCTTATTTCTCACCTTTTTTTTTACCACGGGGGTTTGGCACTAGGAGCTTTTTTTTGGAGCCCAAGGTAGCTTATTTTTATTTTGAAAAAAGCACTAAAAAAAAATGGAATTTTAAATGAAATATTTTCGCGGGAAAGCCCCGCGAGGGGCCCCTTCGCTCACGTAAACAATCCCAGACGGGCCCCCTGCCCCCCCCCGGGCCCGGCCGCCCTGGCCCAGGGCCTGCTTTCCCGCACCCCGGGACAAACAAACGACCTCGCGATAAAACCTATAAAAAAGGCGACCCAAATTTTTTTTTTACGAAAATACCCCCCTATAATTGGCAAATTTTAAAACGTTTTCCCGGGGGAACTACAAAAGGGGGAACCATGTAAAAGCAAGGGGAAATCAAAGGGGTCGGGAGATGTGACTGTGAAAAAAACAAAATGTTTTTTTAGGGGCCCGAAATTTTCTGCTTTTGTTCATCTGGCCCCCTTTTTTGGGAAAATTGGGCATTTTTTTTAAATTTTGTAAAAATTGGCCAAAGGGCCAAAATTCCCTGACCACGTTTTTGGGTATTTTGAAATCATTAAATGGGCATTTTCCCTTTGTTTTCCATTTTATAGAACAAAGGGGTTTTCCTAAAAAATAGCTATAGTTTGGTCGACGGGAACAATGGAATTACCGAAAAAAGGGCCAAAGGGGGCCCGAAACCCCGCTGATTTCATAAATATCCCCCGAAGTTGCTAACTTCGCGAGAGCAAAATTTCCCTTTAATTTTTTCCATCAAATTTCATACTTTTGGGGTTTTAAAATTTCCTCAAAGAAAAGGGGATTCTCAAAAATTTCATAAAAAAAAAAAAAAATTTTTTTTTTTTTTTTTTCAAATCAGGGGGAACCCCCGCAAAAAACCGTTTTTAATTTGTGCAAGAGGGGGAAATTGTTAGGGCGAAAAAAATCGGATGTAATAAATTTTCCCCCATAAAAAAAAAAGGAAAAAAAAAAATTTAAATTTTCCGTGCAAACCCCCCAAAAGAAATAAAAAAAAAAAAATTTTTTTTTTAACCACATAAAGGGTAATTTTTAATACACAAAAAAACTGAAAAAGGCAGAAACATTTAAAATACACTTACTTTTTTTGAAGATCGGGTGTTTATTGAGGGGAATGGGGGGGGGGGAGAGAGAGTTTAGTGTTTAAAAGGGGAAATTTCCCCTTCCATTAAGACTTAGGTGTCAAGCCCTTTTTCTGGGGGTTATTTTCCTTCTTCTTTTAATGCCACAAAGGCCCCACTTAAAGAGTCACTGGATTTTCTTTCGAACAACATATCTGTCCATAGGGGGGCCTGTACCTCTTCTTTCCCTTTTATGATTTTTCCCTAAAGTTTTTTCACAACATTTTCAGGGGCCCAGGTTCCCAAAACAAAAAACGGCTTCAATAGCGTTGGAGGGTGATTTTTTTCACCCGGGAAAGGGTTTTTGCATTTAAAACCCATTTTGGCACAAAATTCTTTAATTTTTGTATAGAAACTTTTTTAAATTTTCTCTCCCCCCCCTTTTGAAACCATTTTCCCAGGTCTGGCCTTTTGGGCTCTTGAAGTTGATCTATCACCCTCATCAGGGGTTTATTCTTCATTGTCCTCCTCCCCCAAACTTTTTCCACATCCTCCCCACAAAACCCCCAAACCCCCAAGGATTTTCCCCCAATCCAACAAGGGATTCCTAAAAGGCTTAATCCCTCGGGTTTTAACCCCTTAAAAAAACCCTTTAAAAATCCCTTTTGTCTACCATTCGGGCCCAAAGTTTTTTTCCCTCCCAAGCAGATTTAAAAAGGGTCTTCTTGGGACCCCAAATCCCCCCCCAACCTTCCCCTAAAGGGTTTACACAATTGGGGATATTAAAGTGCCCCTTTTCCCCCCCCCCCAAAACTCTCTTAGATTTCATTGATTTCGGGAGGTCCTACAAAGCCCTTTCAAACAGAGTTTTTTGTGTACATTTTTTGGGAAGTTTGCAATAACCGGGCGGTCCAGGGGCTGCGGGGAAAAGGAATTTATTAGGAGGAAAAAAACTTCACCTTAATGAACCATTTTCCCCATAAATTTCGCTCGGGGCCCCACTTCTTTAGGATGCCCCAGGGGCTTTGGGGGCAAAACCCCAAAGGGGGCACTTAATTTCCTAATTTTTTTTCGGGTTTGGGTAATCTTTCACTTTGGGGGGGCAAATGCAGGGGTGAAAACCATTTTATAGAAAAAACCCATAAACCCAGGGCCCTTTATTTTTTGGGCCCCTCCAAAAGCAAAACACAAATTACCCCTTGGGGGCCCTTTTTTTTGCCTAACGCCGGGGGAGTTTCAGAGTGATACACAAATAAAGGTTTAAAACTTTGCAATCACCCACTAGCATGGCAAAACTTCAACAAAGTAAGCCCCTTTAAAGGGCTTTTTGGTCCGGGGAGTTTTTTTCCCTTTTCCTCCTGATAATTGGCCCCCTGCTTGGCATTTTTTTTTCCAAAAAAGGGGCCCTGTTTCATCAAAATTTAAAACCCTTTTTGTTCGGGTTTTCCGGGTCCTTCCCCTGTCTATTTTTACCCCTTTTTTTTAAATTCCTGCACATTTTTTTCAGCCCTTTGTGGTCCGAACGGGCAGCCTCACCCATGCCTTACACACATGGATGCCACCTACGTTTCTAAATCTCTAAAAACCAAAACCTTTGTTTCCTTTTTTAAATTCACTCAAACACCCTTTTTTTTTGCGGGGCATTTTTTTAATTAAATCCTCACCCTTTCCCTGGGCCTTTTCACATAGATCGTTTTGAGAACGCAAATTCCCTGCTAGCTGTTTTTCATTTATCCACACCAATAAAAAGTCCCTAAAACATTTTCCATCATTTGGCGTTTTTTGTTTCGAAAACCCAACAAAAAAAAAAACCTTTTGGGGCAAAAC